ATATCTATATTTATATAAATTATTTTAATCTATATATCCATTCATTATTGTTTTCCATATATTTTTAAACGACTTCGCAATGAAAACTCTGCAAAGGGACACTTCTATTATGCGGACACTTACCTGGGGCAGACATTCTCTCTCAACTCTCTCATTCTCTACTCCATACTCATTCCCTCTCTATAAGGCGAGCACTCCTCTTGTGCAGGCAAAAATTACCCGACTGTCGCCGACTGTCCGCTCAGGAGAGTTTTCAATGTAATAAGAATATAAAAGAAATGTGCTATAACTATGTGACTTTGGTTGCAAATAATATTGCAGCTTCAACTTTTGGACTTCTTAGTGCTAAATAAATAAAATAAAACTTAAATGTTTTTGTTACAATTAAACAGTTTGGCGAAATGATGAGTCAGTCCACGAAAGCTGTTCGTTAGTAAAGATTTCACTGTAAATTATTCAAATTATCAACCAATATTATTAGTAATTTTGCATATAATTATTATCAGAGGATAGCTAAGCATAGGACAATTTTTTTTTATTTATTCAAAAATATTTCTATCAGCTCATACTTTAAGTCCAATTACAGTCAGCCAGACTCACTCTCACACACACCCGCACACAAATCTTGAATCTTTCCAGTTCCATCAAATCGGATTAAAGTAACCACACAGTGAGCCCCACATTTTGCATCTCCGTTTAGCCACAAATCGGAGGCAAGCACAAATTCAAAGCAAATGCTGAGAGTGGAAATATAACCGCAAAATGATTTCCCTGCCCGTTGGCTATTTGTTGAGTCTGCGAGGCATGGGAAATTCAACGTGCATTTCTTGACCAGGAAAATGCACGTCAGGCCCGGCGGCTGCAGTTGGGCAACGAACAACAACAACAATACCTACGAAGAACAACAACAATGTGCCACATAGATGGATCTACATGGACATGGACATGCACCATAAGTCATCGGCATTGATAGCCATCAATCGCGGGCCGTTTTTCCAACATTTTCTTAGCGGGAAGTGTAACTACAATTAGTCGGGTGCTGGAGCTGCGGCCACAGATCTGTTGCCTCTTGGCCGGCACACATATGAAAATCTTTTGGGGCTCGTTACTCCAACGCATTTTCCATAACTTGGTCATTTTTCTTAGACACTGCACATGGCGGCTGCCAAGGTAACCACAGACACAGCTTCAGCTTTAGCTGCCCAGTCTCCACAGTCTGCCTCTCTGCCCCTCTGTTCGTGCTTGTACGTCACTTTGTCAGTTTGTCAGTTTGGGTCTTGTGGCCCCGTTTGGTACCGTCGCGTACCGTCTGGGCTGAGAATTCTGCTGCGGCTCGTTGAACCTTTTTAACCGTTGCTTGGTCAAGAGTTGTTAACCATATTAAAGTGTTCAATGATTAATTACACGCGTCCAAGATTAATTGAAATCAATCAAAGCTGAAGTTAACTAATGGCAACACGTTTGTAATCTACGTTTGCCCGGTGTGCCAGCCCCCGCCCTCTCATCCTCATCCAGCTTCTACACGAACCATGCTCATGTGTGCACGCCTGGAATTTCTTATAGGACTCCTACTCCTGTCCCACACATTCGTTTCATGCTCATTTTATTAGCCGCAGATTTAGTTTCTTCTTTCTCTCTCCCTCTCTATCTCTCGGTGTCCCTCTGTTTCTCTTATAGTGATTCCCAAACATAATTACAATAAGAGGTCTGTGGGTTAGGCGTCTAGCAGCTATGGGCTCGAGTTAGGAGCTGGGCTAGTTTCGATTTTTCTTTTCAGCAAAAAGTAAAAGTACCTCTTAGAAAACTGCAGAAAATTTTAAAATATCTTTTCTTTGAATAAAATAGAAGCCGTTTTTGAATATATAAATTAAATTTGAAAATAACTTGATGATTATTAAAAGTTTTAACAGTAATGATGCTATGAATTACTTGGCTATCATAAGTATGTGTACATGCTTTAAAACGTAAACGTAAACTTTTTCGGTTCAAACATAAATTATTTTTTAAATTCCAGGTTCAAAAAGGTTCGCAATAAATCGGTTATGTTTTTAATATATATTTTAATTAAAAATTATTTAATGGTTCGGTTTATCCTAATAACTGACCAGACATTTTTTGAACTAAAGCAAAACATGGTTCAGTTCGGGTATCGTTTCAGTTATTTTTTGGGCAATTGGTTTGATAGAGTTTTCGGATGATATTAAATAATATATATGAACTCCGAATTGAAAGTGGTGGGCTCGGTTGTGCGGCCTTTATTCTCTGTTCTCATCCAAAAAACACAGCGCTATTAGATAGACTATGTATATATCTAGGGGTCCTCTGCAAGTATTTAAAGTTAATCGGCTCTAAATCAGCTTGCAGCTTCGATCTTAATATAATCTTAATTAAATTACATCTGACTTTATCCGCATTGCTTTAAGCCGAAGTTCTATCAGCAGTTGGTTTTATTTGGCATTCATTTTTACTCATCCTTGCACACAATATATAATATATTAATTAAAGATATTTTATAAAACCACAAAAAAAGGAAGCCACAATGTAACACGTGTTCCACAGACACAGACACACACACACACACACACACACACGAAAATGTAAACTGTAAAATCGTGCACTAATTAAATTTAAAATTTGGGGCTTAATCATGTGACGCACACAGAGAGATAGATACAATCGGCTGAAGGTACGGCAATATCAATTGGCTGACAGTATGCTAAATTATGGATTATGCCCCTGGGGCGAGGACAATCCGCATATCGGTTACCATGTGCCTGCACGGAGCACGTGTCCTGCTTGTCCTGTGTGAGGCAAAACATAACCGATTCGCTTCCTTCCGGCAACACACCTCGTCACAAAAGCGCCGCAAATGAGCGAAAGACGAGCTAGAGCAGGCGGTGGACACGTTAAGCCCCATCTCTAGCTTTGACTCTGCCGCAAACCCACATGTGGTTAATTATAATTACGCAATTTTAATATCAAAACATGCTCGGCACGAAAGTCAGTTTGTGGCCCGGTCCCAGTCCCAGTCCCGGGCTCGGGTTCGGGTTCGAGTTCGAGTTCAGCTCGAGGTCCTGGACAACCTACCTTTAACTAACTGTGGGGGTTGTTGGTGCTGGCGTTGAAAAGGCGCAAAATGATGAATGAAATACGACGATTTTCAATGACAACAAGCCACCCCCGTTGGGCACGAAACTCGACAGGTTTGAGTCCAGAACGAACCCTCGTCCTGGTCACACCTCACACCAGCAACACGCACACTTTGAGCTTTGATTGAGCATATCCGGTGGGATTACTGCGGGGGTTGGATGGGATGTTTTGCGGTTATTTATACCCACAAGTCAGTTTGTTTCAGCGGCTCGCTTCGTCCAGCCAACCGCAAAATATTAGCTTTTATGATATTGATCGAAGCCGATGTCTATTGACAATTAAACAATAGCCCGAAACAGTCAAGCCAAGGGGCGGAACTGTTGCCACAACAAGCCACGGATATGAATTTGAATATGTTTACGCATACGAATAAGAATACGAATACGAGCACCCATATGCCCCACAGGGATAACCATCTGAATTGGCGCAAAATTAATATGGGTGTTTTGGTTTGGGTAGCGGCTTCCAGAAGGGGGCGAGAGCAGAATTTTATTTGCGTTGATTTTTATGTTTATTAGCAGGATTAATACATCATTAATCTAATCAGCAGATATTTGGTTCAATTTGTGAGTTCGGGTTTTATTGCGTGCTTAACGCATATGCCGCAAATTTAATTGTCAGTCTGTGACTGTATTTGTGTTTAGCAGACTGTCAGTACTTGGTCTATTGTGGATGTAATCAGACGCTGGGCGCAACTAATTCAATATTAAAGAGAGAAAAAAAAAGTTATTGGAAAGTGAAAGATTTTAAAATTCAACTTTCAGTTAGTTTAAAGGTAGTTTCTCTCTCTCTATATCCCACGATCTGTCTCCCTCTTTTTATGCTTAGCTTGGTATCATTGTGTAATAAATATCTGTTTATAACTCTATGGCTTGAGCTTTCAGCTTTTACATAGTTTAAGCTCTTCTTATGCTTATCAAGCTTACTTGTATGTAGACTGTATAGGCTATATGATTATATAAATAAAGCTAGGGTAGATGAAAAGCTAAAAGCTTTTAAGATATGCCTTTACACATCTGTAATGAATTTATAGCCATGAATAGGCTTAGATTATAAGAATAGGCATTATAATATAAGGAATACGTATGTGCGGGTCACATGAGTCCACCTCAAAGGTAATTTATGCGGAACGCGCTGTTTACTTGAAGAAACAAACAAATTAATTTAAATACGTATTTTGTTTAACGGGCGGGAAAACAACACGCAGTTGCTGGCAGATCATCAAAAAAAAAAAAGAAAAAACAAACAAAGGTGACAGACAGAAAAAGAGAGTGGCAGAGAGAGCGGGAGAGAGAGTAAGCACACAAAGGTCATCTAATAAAAATTCGAATGATAATAATTATGGCAATCGTACGTGATAATTGCAGCAAGACATAGGCACACCCACACACACTCCAACACCACTGATGCGCCCCTGGATGATGCTCTGACGTGTCTCCAAAAACCAAAAGTAGAAACAGCCGCCAACTCGTGACAGCTCTGGAACATAAACAAACAGACGGCCCAGGCACACACGAAAATCAACTAATTAGTAGGTTGCTGGTCATGGACGGCGGGGAGTTGGGGTGACTGCAGGCAAAGATTAATAAATAAATGGAGATTTGCTGTTATTTATTTTTAAAACAAATATCTCGAGCAGACAGCGTCGCGGCAACAGGCACGCACAACCCAAACCGGGTCAACACATTGCCATGGGCGAGGTCAAGTTCTGCTCTCCATATGTGGAATTTCACTTTTAAGAACTCGAATACGGAAAAGCTCTAATCTAATTAGCAGTATATTTTGTTGGGGGCCAAAATCAAAGGGAATAAAAAATACTTTCAGTTACTTTCAGTCTTATTTATTACACATTTTAGCCGTAGAAACCAAAGCCAGGACGTCCAAATCCGCCGCCGTAGCCGCCATAGCCGCCATAACCGCCGCGGTAATGATGATGTCCATAGCCGCCATAGCCGCCGCCAAAACCGCCATAGGGCCCTCCAAAGCCGCCGCCGTAGGGTCCGCCAAAGCCGCCGCCAAAGGGTCCACCAAAGCCGAACTGACGCTTGGTGCGCACCTGCTCCTCAGCCTGCTCCTGGGCATAAGCCAGGGATAGCAGAACACCCAGAATCACGGCGAATAAGATTGCGGCACGCATTCTGAACGTATTTATTATTGTTTTTTGCTTGTGTTTTTGTCAAATTGAGAAATCGAACTGTGTACGGCTCTTGGCCAAGAATTCGCTTTTATAGGCATCGCTCCTATCGTTTATCGCCTCGGTATTAATGAAATTCAAGAACAATCTAAGCAGAATTCCCCCATATGTTTACCCAAAAATCAAAAGATAGAAACTCGTTTTTTAGTCAGCTCAAAAACAAAAACACAATTTGGCCGGCCACTTAATCTTCGCTAACCGCAAAATTTTGTTCTTTTTTCATTGTGAATTTAGATTTGACAGGCTTTGTGACGAAATAGATGAGTCTATAAAAAACGGGTTCCGAACCTATTTTTCTGTTTGTCCCAAGACAGCGCCTAAAAAGTCAATGAGCTGATAGTTTATATGCGATCTCTTTTCTGTTTATGCAAATTACTTTAAAATCTATATCAAACGCCTTCTCGTGGGAGATATACATTTATATTAATTTGGGGACTTTTTGTGGGTATTTTGAGGTTGTCAGTACGCATAAAATATATATTTTAATTAAATATTTTCGCTTATGGTTATGTAACTTATGAAATATGCGGCTCTGATATCATGGAGTTAATTATATGCCAAGAGTTTCCTCCGAGTTACAAGCTGGTTGCCAGAATTTCGATTTGCTTTAATGCAAATCAGTTAGAAAATCATTCGAAAATGTATTTAACTAAGACATTGATTAGCGCCATATAAATTATATTCCATTTTAAAAAGTTATAAACAAATTTCACTAGCACAATTTATACAAATTTAGCAGTCTAGCTAGAAAACAAATTCAGAGTATTTCATAGGGAAATTTTATACAGTTTTGACATAGTTTGACATAGTTTGGGATAAAGTGTTTGCTATAAGACATAGAAAGTTTAGGCCAATATTTTACTCTTAATGGAATTTTCAAAATATTAATATTCAAAATATTATTAAAAATTGTATATAACTAAATAATAAGCAACATATTTTTATTTTAACTTTAATTAAAATGTTATTAATTGTAAAAATTTTTTCTAATTCGGACAGTTTGTAGGTGGGAAAGAGCATTTGCTGAAGATTGTATAGTTTTTCATAACAAGACATTTAGCCTAGCGCCAACGTGCTTTTAACAAAAAGCAAACAGGTGTGAAAGATTTGTGTTGTTATAAGATCTGGCGCTCTTTTTTTACCTTTATTATTTGTTGATCATAGCAAAAGGCAATACGGCGTATTCGATGCGGAAGCTGGATGATTGTTGTGTTTGGGTTAAAAACAAATACATGTTTATCGCTGGAAATGCCCAGAATGATCAATGATTGGACGCTAAGCACAAGCATATTAAATAACCACATGGATAGAAAACAAAGATCAATAAATAAAGCTGTTGCTGTCCATTTTGATGTGCTTTGATCTTTATATGCTGCGTTTATGTTTGTGATTTTATATTTTATTTTTATTTTTATTTTTATTTTTATTTTATTTCTGCTTCTGACATGTGAGTCGGCAAATAAAACTTCGAGCTTGTGGTACAGATGAATTCGCGCCATAAATCAGCAAAGTTGGCGCTGCGCAACGGAAGCATCGATCGATTCTGTTGTCAACGAAGCGAAAGAGCAGATCATCCTCATGATTCTTATGATCATTATCACGATCGTGTTCATTAACATTATCAATGTCTGGCTGTGTGGTTGTGTGGTGCTCTGATTTTCAGGTTCCACCCAGTTGCACATGTTCTTCGCAGACTTTCAGTTCGACAAAGCATTTTCTTCTGGCAAGTTTTCACTTCGATTTTCAATATGTGTCGTTGCGTTATCGTTGTGTGTGGCAGTGTGTGTGCAAGTGTGTGCAAGTGTGTGTGCTGTCATGTGATTTAAGGGTACCCGTAAATCACGACGCTTGTCTAATTTCGTCTTGCTTGAGATTCCCCGCATTCTTGCCAGCTCAATGGAATCATTTCTTCATTTCGAGCCTGTCAAGTGCCTCCAGCACTCTGTCCTACATTTTCGCACATGATCGCCACAATTCCTCTCGCTCTCTCTCTCTCTCTCGCTCTCTCTTTCTCCGTCTGTCTCTATACACTTAACGACGCAGCTTGGCTTTTGCGCAGCATTTATCGCATCTTTATCTGTCGACTGTATTTTGTATCTGTATCTGTATCTGTCTGCTGCATTTGCCGTATCTGTTACTGTGTCTGCGCCAACTGATCGTACAACTTGTATGTAACTCACTTTGCATGCTCAAAACTCACACCCGAATTCGCCTCCCCCTGTCAACATATTTGCCACTGTTGTGCCTTGGCTGCGCGTCTACGCGATCTGCCAGCGATCGGTGATTTGTGTTGCCGATCCTCGATCGACCATACCATTTACAGACATGTCAGCCAGTTGAACACACATTCGCACACACACTCGCCCAAATTAAGAGTTGCTTTCGTTGTCTTGTTGAAACCACCAAACGATCGCTTGTTGATCATGGTGCTGCTGACAGAGCTACCTACTTGTTTAGACAACTTCTTCAACAACTACGACATTTGCGCAGCTTAGGACGAAAAGTGAAAGTTTAAAGCTTGACTAGTTCCACAAATGAATCATAGCTTAATACACTCATGATTTATTCATCTTAGACAATAATAACTTAAGAATATAAAGTTAACTAAATGCCTACGTAATTAACTTTCTATTTATATATCGCAAACACAAAAAAATCGCTAGACTCTAGCTCTAATAATGAATCTCTATTTCGTATTTTAAGGGAAATGTTGGAAGGTATCCACAAACTGAAATATTCCCAGAGTTTGGTATATCTAGCTCATATACCTTGAGGTAAGTTAAAAAAAAAATGTATGGATATTCTGGAAGTTTTTCGACCCATGGCATAGAAGAATATATTCAAAATTGTAGGTCTCTAGCTCTTATAGTTTTTGAGATCGTAAAGATTAAATGTAATGTTTTCAGGCAATTTCTATTAATATACACAGTCTTCATTCGTTTCTGATATATTGAGACAGAAGTCTATAATATCATAAGATAGATATCAGCTATATATTAAATCGATGTCTATTTGTTTAATATAACTTATAAGACCTCAACTAAACGCTATAAATATGTAACTATTTATTAAAGCAATCTTATGTGAATTATGTACGATTTAAGCTGTTGACTGTACAATTGTGATTATTTTCTATTTGCGAGTGGCGCTTGTTGGTCACGCTCTCTCCCCACCCCCCTTTTTTTTGCACACACACAGACACCCACGCACACCTGAACAATAGGTGGAAATACGAACCTGTCATTATGCTGAAAAGGGCGCTGACAGGTAAAATGTCATATATATGCAACCATTTGGCATGCCATCAAAACAATGGGAGGCGCATTAAATCACGCAACGCGCATCAGAAATTGAAGTTTCCATTTCATATATGGTATTATATGGTATGAGTTCAAGTTTTACTTATTGTTTATTGGCTCTGTTGAGAGTTAATACGGAAATGTCGCGTGTTTGACAGACATTCAATGGGCTTTAACTAACTTTTATGACACCAATTATTAGATAATATTTAGGCCACACGACATTTCCGACTGTCAGTTGCTAACTAAATTAATTAGTTGCTAACGGAACTAGTTCATGTTTACGCTTGTTAACGTATTCGAACTACACTTTGTAGTTATAGTGTGTGAAATTCAGGAAAATAATCTGATATATTTTTTTTTATTTCCATGCCTTTTGTTCTGTCTTTGCAATTAAGATTTATGCTTATTCGTACCTTTAGGCAAACATTTCGATACGCAAATAAACAAAACTGCGAATCATTTGAATTTCGCTGCCTTTGTTCGTTCGGAAATTTTAATTTTGGGATTTTCATAAGGATTATGGGGTAGATTTTCGCACATGCCCAGGCGCCCTACATATCCGTGCTCTACTTGGTCCTGCAACAATGGATCTGTGTCCCAGACTAGCGCGTAGGGTGTCTGTAGATCTCAGGTAACGCGGCAGATGCAGCTGGACACGAACTGGACTTATTTACCTCTCGTGATTGTACTCAAGATCTGCGCAGATCTTAAATGCATTTTCTGTGATTTTCGTAGCAATTTTGTATTGATTATGTGAATATTTGAGTATCGGCTTTTATATGCAAAACATGTTTGCAATTTTTTAAGTGTGTTTTTGTGGGGGTAGGAAAATTTGCTTTATTTTTTGTTCGCGCAGTCATAATAGGGCGTTACGTGTTGCTAGGAACTGTAGCTGTAGCTGGGGTAGTCATAACCATAATTAGCCGATTTTGACCTTTTGAGTATGTTTTCCAAAAAGAGAGAAATAAAAAATTAGCATTCCGGGCTACGCAAATTTATATAAAAGATATTTAAGAAGTGTGTTTTATAATAGATTGAAATTAAAAGAGTTTTTACTTTATTTCAATAGAAGATTTATACATTTTACATTTATTTATTTATTTATTAATGGTCGACAAAACGAGTGTCTTCCTCATTATTCAATAGAATATACAATAGAATTTTATGCTAAAAGCCTAGTTAAAGGATACAATTTTCTAAATAGCATCACCGACCGATGGAGGTGTTTTATTTGCCAGTCCGGCCAGCTGTGCCCCTTTTCACAGCTAATTTTGTCAGTGACGCTATTAGAGCCTACATCTAAGCAGAAGGTTGTAAGTAGGAAAAAAGTGTTTTCAAGTAGCATTAAAATAATCTTAATTTGCTATATTAATAAAGAAAATACAATAAATAGGAAAAATGAAAGTAAGAAGAATTGTTAATAAAGTAAAGTAAAGCAAAGTTAGATAAAGAGTGTTAAGTAGATAGGACAGAGAGAAAAGTAATGGGAAATCACCGACCCGGTGGGGGAAAAATTTTTCAGCCTGTCCGGCAAGCTATGCCCCTGCTCATAGCTGGGAATGGTCAGCGACTTCCCGAAGGTATCCTGAAAGCAACGATTTTATTAGGGGTAGAGACAGTTCGGTAGAGAAAACGTGATGCAAACTATTATAATTTTTACATAGCACGCGAAAAGGATTGTGCATAGCGTAGTCTGTTGTGCACGTAGATAGTAAAAAGGGGCGATAATTTCTGGTTGGTCTAGCCGGAACAGAGAATTGAAGACGCCCTAGCAGAAAAGGAGAATCTATGTCGCCAATAATCAACTTATGTAGAAGGACAACACCGAGAATTGTCCTACGGTTGGTTAACGACGGAAGGTTGAGAAGAAGCAGTCTGCTGGAGTAGGATGGCAACCGAAGATTAGGGTCCCAATTTAAACCTCGTAAGGCAAAAAGCAGAAATTGCTTCTGAACAGATTCAATACGATCCTGGCTGTTGTTATACTGTGGAGACCAAATGCAAGAGCAGTATTCAAGGATAGGGCGAACAAGAGAGATGTACAGAAGTTTTGTTATAAAAGGATCGTTAAACTCTTTAGACCATCGTTTAATGAATCCAAGTACACCTTTTGCCACATTAACGATGGTATCTATGTGAAGATTGAAACAGAGTTTAGAATCAAAAATCACGCCTAGATCCTTAACTGTTAGTATACGTTGCAAAGGGATATTGTCGATTGTATAACTGACAAGATAAGGTGTAGTACGATTAAAAGTCATAAACATACACTTTGAACAGTTTAGATGCAATTGATTGGCCGAACACCATAGTTGCATAGCGTTCAAATCGTCTTGTAGACGAGAATGATGTAGGGGATTAGTGTATGATAGAAAAAGTTTGACATCGTCCGCATACATGAGTACACGGGCATGTGA